CCCTTATGGCCCTGTGTTGCTTAAGCCTACAGCCTTTTGTGCTTTTCCCTCAAAGATGCCAGAGTGCAAAATGTACAGGCAGCTTTCTGGAACGTCACCTGCTCCCTGGGGAATCCCTTTCTCTTTGGATGCCAGAGCCAACTTCCTTCTTCTTGCTCCCCCCCACCCCTTACCTCATGTTTTTCTGCAATGGCATCTGCTGTCACTGGCAAAAAACATAAATGTGCCATGGATAACATTTTTCTTTTCCAAAACAGACCCAGGGCTCCTCCACAAAATTTGCTTCCTACCCCGAGCAAGAGGCCTGTCACCAGTGCCACTTAAATTATCATGCTCGGAGGAAATGTTTGGGGACACATCCCAGTTTGGCTGAAATGAGCAAGAGAAATGCTTGTTGACTTTACTGGAAAGTCTCTGTTACCACAGTCATGTCACAGAGATCTTTCAGCCATCCAAATTTGGTTCAGAGACGTGGGCACTGGCTCTGCAAGCTGATCTTGTGACCAGAGGTGAGAGGACTGAAGAGCAGGAGGGGCTTGTCAGCAGGTTTCGTGTGGAACTCAGAGAGAAAAAACACCCAAGTGATTTCCTGCCCATCAGCCTTTTTGCTTTTTCTCCTTCCTTGTGGAGTGGTGGCTCTCAAAGACAAACACAGGTTGTTTATTTAGAGAATCCTTGTTGGAACGGGAGGAAAAAGCAAACCGAAAGTACTGCCTTTCAAATGTCTGTGTTATCAAATATTTGGAAGTTTGGGGGCTTAAAATAAGGGATAGAGCCACAAGTTTCCAGGAGCAGACACAGTTTGACAAAGGAATGCCCATGCTAAGAGCTGAGTGACTCCATGGCACTACCAAGCTCCACTTGTGTCGTATCCAGAGAGATAGAATTTTTTCAACCTTCATTTACTTTTTAGATTTGGACTCTTTGACCCAAAATTCCCTATCAGCAGAGTGCTGATGCTTAATTTCTCAAGTCACAGTGGAAGTGTTTCACGTGGTGCTCTGAAAAAGGCACAAGTCAAAGACTACCACTGCTGCAAAGTCCACATCTCAAACACTGCTTCCATTCCTCACCAGGAGTGAGCCAGCACAGTTTGGATGTCTGAGCATCAGTCAGAATCTTCTTCCTGCTTGTTTATCCTGCTGCACATCCAGTTTGCAGGAAGGTTTGGTGGAGGGGTCGTGAGGATGAGGCCCTCAAGGTGATAAAGACACAGGAAGACTTTTTCAGTTGGGGAAAAATGAGAATATCCCCTTGTCTTCCTCCAAATATCTTTCCCCAGTAAGGATCCCTCCTTCTCTCCTTTGTGTGCATGAAAACTGATCCTTTCTACCTTCCTACAACTTCCTCAGAGCATGGCTGTAAGTTTGACCCTGTGTCACCAGGAGGAATCATCCCTGAACTGAGGGGAAGACAGCTGGACTGTGCTGTCCCTCACCTGGGGGGTACCTACCCTACAGGTTACTTGTCCCACTTCTCATGCCACAATAAGTCAGGCAGTCCCCTTGGAGCTCAGCTGTGTGTGCCAGCTTGGGGGTAAGGTTTGCATGTGCAGGTCTTCCCCACCATAGGCATGGTGTTGGTTTTGGGGTTAGGCCCAGCTTGCAGGAAGGGCTGGATGCTGATTTTGCCAGGAGAAGACCAGAAGACTGGCTGCATGCCAGTTTTGCCAGCTGGCTGTGAGGGATGAACTTGGAGAACCTCTTTGGGCAGGCTCACTGCTTCCTTATGGCAACAGAGAGGTGCTGGTGGGAATATCTGTGCTCTCAGGCTGTCTGGGGACACAGCCTTGCTGGAACCAACCTGCCTCTTGTGCTTTCAGCTCTGGCAAACTGCTGAGAGCCGAAATCCAGAGAAAGACTTCTTTGGTTTCCAAAGAAACCTTTATCTTTGGCCTTTTTATTTCTACCTTCACTTGTTTGGCCCTTGGGCTCCTCCCACATAAGACAGTGGTTGCTTGGTCCAGTTTGCTGAAAGGAGGAGGAGGAGGAGGAGAAAAATCTCAGTGTTGTTCAAGGAGAAATAACACTTCAGCATCATTATTAGACCTCTATTGTCTCTGTTTCCCTTTCACTAGATCCAGGACAAATAAAATACTACGAGCAGTTGCTTTGCATTCTTTCCATTCTTTTTTTCCCCCCTTCATTGTGAGTCAGAGTGCTGAGGTTCGTGGAGAGGCTGGAAAGAGAAGAGTGCCTAATTTCCATGGGCACACAGAGCATCTGGACAGAGTTACAACAAGCAAAAATTATATGTAGTGTTTATGGCTACAAAGAATCTCCAGTTCTTGACCATATGAGGCATTCACAGATTCTGTAAGAGGGGAAAAAAGGCTCAGCTTTTTTATTAAAAGTGACTGTGTGATAGAAGAAGAAAACCAGAGCAACAGCTGGAAATGTGTCACCAATGTTAACATGAGCTCTGCTGGCTGGAGTGAAGCTCACTGCCTCGGACATGTGGACACGTGTCCAGGGCCATGGACGTCACCTCACATTTCACCTGCCCTGGAAATCACAGGAAACATGTCATTTTGGTGACAGGAGAGGAGCAAAAGCACAGGGATGAAAGGATGAACCTTGGTGGTGGATTAACTCTCCTGTTCATCTCAGGTTGGAAGGAGATGCCGGAGTTCTGTGCCTAAGTAAATCGTCTTCCTGGGAGCACCAAGACTCTGCCTGCAAAACTGGGTCTAAAACTACAGCTGGAGATGCCATTGCCATCAGCCAAAAGGAAGGACACTTTTGTTTTCCAAAGGGAAGGACCAGTTTCACACAGGGAAAGACATTCATGGCACAAACAATGTCTTAGTCCCGTGACCTGAGGGCTGCCAACCTTCACCATTTCTCAGGGGCCAGGTCCAAAGGGTCTGTGTGACTGTGATTACCATGATCACTGTGGAAACAGGTAAATGATGCAGTGAGATGATCATCCTCCTGTTCTGTATTTCTTCATCATCAGTATCCATGTTTTGTCTCTTCTGCTGTTTGGTGTAAGGGTGGATGGTCTGGTTTTGCCTGCAGAGACAGGACTACCTTATTCCCTTCACTGCTGGAAGTGGTCCATTTGCCCATTTCAATGATCTACTACAAAATATCCATTAATTTATTTTTGTTTTCACACTGCTTATCTGAGTTGGTGCAGTGCTGAGTATAATCCTGTTTTCAGTAGAGGTAGGTCTGGTTTCTACTCTGGAAACACCCAAAAGGAGTTTTTTTTAATTAAAAATTACCTAACAGAAAATGAGTGTGGGCACTGTCCCACCAACACACCGTTGCCTGTCCTGATCCTCAGAATGTCTCAAAGCACAGATACCACATCAAAAAAATATTACAGGGAAGCCAAAAAACTCCCAGTCAGGAAAACTACATGGCCTTAAGCCAAGGGGGCTCTTGACTTGGAGTCAAGTCCTGTTTAGCACCAACTAAAGAAAAAAATGAAGAAAACCCTGGGGAAGAAAACAGGTTCTGCCATGGGATGTATGGACTGCACAGGCAACCAGTGAGTGGTTCAATCTGTAAGATCCATCTCTAAATTATTAAAAAAAACCCCAAAACCATGGCTGATGGTGTCAGGCTGCAAAATGGCTTTAGCTTCTGCAGTGGCAGAGGGGCAGCCAGGTGGGGATCTCCTCCAGTCTCCACAGGCTTTCTGCAAACTGGACCTGAGCCCGCCGGCTTCGAGGGGTGTTTTAATACCTGATATTGCAAATCCCCCATGAAAAGCAACGGGGTGATGGAAAGCATTTCTTCATTCTCACGCACTGTTACCCCCATCTATATATTTTATGAAGCGTGGGAGCCCAAAAAGCTGAAGTTTATTTTCCATTACTCATTGCTTTACTTTTACATAGTCATTTTTCTTGCCTTAGTGGAGCTTCTGCTTGACGTTGTCTGATAGACCTCATTTCTTTCTGTGGCCCACTCACCTTGGAGGCAAGGTCACAACTTGCTGATCTAGCAAGCCCTGATTTTATTCTTTTCCCCACCTCCAATCACATAAAAGAGTTTCTCAAACATACCTGCGTCATGACCTCGATTTTGATAATCGGTCTGATTAAAGAGTTTTCACAGAGAGAAGGAGGCAGCTATGGGGAGGTTCTGCTCTTTTCAGCCCCATGAGCACAGGAACAGAACAAACCACAACCTGCAAAGCACTGCAGGAAACCCGAGGTGTGATGTGGAACCCTCGGCCCATGAAATGTGAAAATATAATCAGGGGATAATGGCACAATGGAAGTAAAACTATTAATTCCCGAGTTCCCTCTTTTGGGCTGCAGTGGAAGGAACATCGACCTGCCAGGGGAAACCATGGCATTGAAACAAGTGTTAAGGGATGTTTCATGAGGTTTAACAAGTGCTGGTGCTGCCCCTGGGTCAGGAGAACCCCTGGGATCAATGCAGGCTGGGGATGAGCAGATGGAGCAGCCCAGGCAGAAGGCCCTGGGGGTGCTGGTGGGGCAGAGGCTGGACCTGCCCCGGCCCAGAAACCCCCCGTGCCCTGGGCTGATCCCCCAGCGTGGGCAGCAGGGCAGGGGGGGATTCTGCCCCTCTGCCCCTCAGGGGAGACCCCCCTGCAGAGCTGCTCCAGCCCCGGGAACAGCCCAGCAAGGACATGGAGCTGCTGGAGCCAGTCCAGAGGAGGCCCCAAGAGGATCCGAGGGCTGGAGCAGCTCTGCTGGGAGGAAAGGCTGGGAGAGCTGGGATTGTTCAACCCGGAGAGGAGAAGGCTCCAAGGAGACCTCAGAGCCCTTTCCAGGGCCTAAAGGGGCTCCAAGAAAGCTGGAGAGGGACTTTGCATAAGGGCCTGGAGAGACAGGACAAGGGGGAATGGCTTCCCCCTGCCAGAGGGCAGGGTTGGATGGGATATTGGGATGAAATTGTTCCCTGTGAGGGTGGGGAGGCCCTGGCACAGGTTGCCCAGAGAAGCTGTGGCTGCCCCTGGATCCCTGGAAGTGTCCAAGGCCAGGTTGGACGGGGCTTGGAGCAACCTGGGACAGTGGAAGGTGTGGAATGAGATGGTCTTTAAGGTCCCTTCCATACCATGACTCCATGATAACTTTCACTTTGCCATTCTCCTAGAAACTTTCCTCACGAGACAAATACACAGGTTGGGGCTACAAACGACCTTCTTGCTGTCCAGTGAAGAGGTGTTGCAGGGAGGACTTTTGCTGCAGCTCCTGTCCACGGAGACCTGTGTGGAAACCAGCCTGAGTGAAAGCCAGCATAGGACAGAGTTCCTCCAGAACAGGGGAAGAGTTTTCCAGTCTCAAAGATCCAAAGGTAAGTAAGACAACAACATTTTTTTTTCTTTTTCTAAAGCATGAATTCGATTACAGTACGTATTTTCTAAATTTACTTTACAAAGTAATGGTCCCTGCATGAAACTTCCATACCTTGAGCTGCCATGTGGTTGTGCTTGAATTGTTCTGATATGTGAAACAGAAGATGAGCAAATTCTCATCCCAGGCTCAGTCCACACCTGCCACAGGATCAGAATTTCTGGACAAGTAAAGCAGCTTCTGCAACTTAAAAAAAATTTTTTATATATATATAAATATATATTATAAATAAATATATAAATATATATATTAGTCTTAACAAGACTAATATATTATATAAATTTATTATATGTATAATATAAATATATTATATAATTTATATAATGTATTAAATATTAATATATTAAATATATAATATATTAAATATATATTATATATATTTATATAAATATATATATTAGTCTTAACAAGTTTATCTGAGAGACAAACTGCCCCAATGTAAAATAGAAGGAACTTTGCACAAATGAGGATATTCACCTTAATTGCGTTTTAGCTTATTAACTAGGATAAACACCTCTATGTGTATGTATATATATACGTATATGTATATGTAGCTTTGCAGATTTATTTAACCAAAGTTTCAGAGCATGGCCTCTGCATCATTTCATCCTCTAAATCATTTCTTAGAGTGGTGTCCACTGCAGGAATCTGTTGTTATCATTGGATTAGAGCTCACTAATAAATAACATAAGCATCTGAGTAAGTGATGCTATTTAGAAAAAAACTAATTAAATTGTCCTTTGGTAGGTCTAAAGGCTGAAAATGAGTCAGGTCTTGCTGCAGCCTTATGCCCACTTCCAGATACATCCCTCCCTCCTTCCTGGGGCTGCTCTCCCAGCTCATCCTAATGGCTAAATTCCCAGGCAAGCCGGTGATTCCCAGGGCAAAAATGACATCCGTGAAGTGCACTGGCCCAAGGTCTCCAACCTGCCCTATGAAACCTCTGGCCAGTCCCAATCCAGGCCAGCAGATCCATAGGAATGAGCCTCCACGTCGGCGCCAGGAGAAGGAGGCAGGAGGAAGAAACGTTCCCCCGCTTCTTGCCAGGTGCCAAAATGTTAACACAACCCATGTGTCCCTGCATGGAAAAGGAACAACATCCCATGCAAACCAGCTGTCCCTGAGCTGGGAACAGCCTTGGCACTTTCCCCTTGCTTTGGGATTTTGGAGTGGGGTGTAAGGTTAATTCCTGCAGCAGCCCTTTGAAGTAGGGGCAGAGTCCTTCCTCCTCCTCCGGCTTCCTTGAGCGTGGGGCAGGGGAGGCCCCACAGGCCTTATAGGACAGATTTGGAGGACCCTTTTTATTTCCAATTTGGGGGTCCCTGGTGCTCAGGGACTTTTTTTCTCCCCAAATTTGGGGGGTCTGGGTTTTTTTGAAGACCCCAGGCTCGCCCAAAATATCACTGTTTTCAAATGAGTGATGGTTATCAAAGGATTGCAGATTCCATCTTGACTCCCTAGGACATTTGACGGATTTCAGTGATCGAAGCTAAATAGCCTTTGGCATCAGGTCTCTTTATTATACATGAAAAAGTAGTGGGATTTCAGTTCCTATTTGCTAAACTTCAACATCTTCTGGGTATCTGCTAGAAAAGCACAATAACAGGGTGGTGAAGCACCACAAATATCCAGTATTGGCTATGAGGACATATCCCTTCCAGCACGCTGGCTTAATCTCCTTGGATTGATGTTGCCCCTGCTATTTTAGTCTTAAAAGGTTTATAGCCCTCTGAGGGATGAAGACCAAACAGTCCCTGATGTAAAACAGAAAGAATCCTACACAAATGAGGATATTCACCTTATTTGCATTTTAGCTCATTAACTAGGGTAAACCCCTGGCTCACTGCCTCTCTGAAAAGGCAAACCAAGTGTTTTCCTTGTCACTGCAGATTTTTAGAGCTCCAGGCTCATTCCTCAGGATTTGGGTGATGTTCAAAAGGGAGCTGTAGGTGCTACCATTCCCATTTCTAGCCCCAGGTGTGCCCCTGCCATGCCCCAGGATGCTCCTGGTGTCAGGGAAGATGTAGCTCAGTGAGGGTACAGAGAGATTTGGTGTTTGGACCCATGAAAGAACCAGTCCATTGCTCAGGAGCATCAGAAAAAGCCAAAGGGGATTACCAGGAAAGGAAAGGGGGGCATCACGATGCTGCTGCACAAATCCAACGTGCTCCCATGTCTTGGGTGCTGGGTGGTGTTTTAGTCTTCCTGTCCCAGAAGCCAGGAAAGCTTCAGGGAGGATGAAAGATCTGGAATGGCTTCTGTAGGAAGCCACATCTGTCTGGTTGTACCTGATGTGTCCTGCTATAAAAAATTAGACTGTATCAGATGGCACCAACTTCAGCGGGGGGCAGGTTCAGGTTGGACACAGGAGGTGTTGCCTCTCAGGACACGTTTCCCCTGCAGGGTCTCCTGGGTTTGGGGATGTGAGGAGTTTTTGTGAGTTTAAAAGGGCCACGAGCAAGCTCAAGAGTGAGGAGTTTGTTTTGGAATGAGGCTTCCAAAATGACCTATTTCATAAAACCCCCGAGCAACAAAGTACCAGAAGCTGTGAGAGCACCCAGGTGAAATTTCCCTGCGTGTTTTTCTTGTTCTTACGCCTTTCCCCAGGTTTTTGGCCAGAGTTCAAGATGGGATCCTGGGTTCAGGGGATTTGCTCCAATAGAGGCATTTTCATGTTCTCCTGCCACAGGAAATCAGAGACATTCCCTTGTGAAGATGGATGTGATGAGGAAGGTAACGTGCACGAGTGATTTCCGCTTTACATCCCGATTCAAGCTAAATGTTTAATGGTGAAGCCCAGAGGTCACAGATAGAAGGATGTAAAAATACAACCCCCCCCAAACCCTTCTGTTTCAGAACACTTGTGTTACCAGGTTTCTGAGTAAAAGAACTCCAGGCTACCTCAGAATCCAGTCGTTCATGAGCTGAATTGGTGAGCAATATTGGCAGGATAAAAGCTGCTTGCACCAAAATGCTGAATGAGCAAAGAAGCCTGTGCCATTTGCAATGTGTTTGTGGCTTCTTTAGCCAGCAGAAAAGGGTCTTCTGGGTGATTCACTTGCTGCCATTTGGCTTCACTTCAGAGGTGAGGGTTTCGGAATTACTCACAGCCCCGTGCTAACGAATCGGAAACTGTGTAAGTGCTATTGAAGTGTCTTGTAGGTTTGCCCCCTTTGAACCCAGAAGAGGCACTGAGCAGATGACTTCAAAATGAGACCTCAACACTCTTTCTGTTCCCAGTTTGATGCAAGTTTTATTCTGGTTTTGTGAGGCTCCTTGTTTTAGCCACACTGGTGATGGCTGATATTAATGAAGGCACAACGACACAGTCTCAGCTCCTCACTGTGAAGAGGCAAGTGGGCTTTAATTATTGATGATATGGTGCTCTTAACCTTTACCCAAGCATCATAAAGGCTTTTCCCAAATACCAGAGCCTCTCTTTTCTAATCCAACTCGTACAAGGAAGGAAGAAGCTTTGGTGCAGAGTGCCTAAGGGCATGGGCATGATCTGGCAGAGATGGAACAAGGTGGAGTGAGAGGGCTCAAGCACCTAACAAGTGTTCACTCCATAGAGTACTGGAAAAACCTCTCTAAGACATGCACAGGGGTGTCTCTTCAGCTCTGCAAGGATGGGAAACCTTGAAGCACAGAGCTGAGATCCAGCTCTCCCCTGTGCCTGGGCAGCCAAAGCTCAGCATCACAACCTCGTCAGTGGGGTAAAACAGTGGGAAACCACTGGGTTTAGATTGCTCCGGTTGCTCAGGAATTTTTTTCCCCATTGTGCTTTTAATTTGTCTTTCACCTACATACCTATCTAGCTGGGACTTTTGCAATCTTCAAACACCTTGAGCCATTCGAAGCTGTGCTAATTTTGTGTGATTTCAACACTTGCAACACAAGCTCAAAGCACGTTTGTTGTTGGAGTTGCGTTTAGCTGAAACTAGAATCTGACACAGAAGAACAAAAGAAAAATCCCCAAAGCCTTGCTCAAGACGTATATCCAAAACTCTTGTAAAGGGAAAGCTTGGAAGCCAGACAAATTTGTTTGTTGTTGTGCCAGATACAGCTATTTCCAAAGTCCCCAAGTGTATTCCTTTTCCTTCCACAGGTCTGCCATTAAAAAGCTCCAACGCTCCCTGCACAGACATGTTTCTAAAGGTGTAAAGAGTTGCTCACCAGGCTGGAGGGATCACAGGAAATACTGCAGTGGGGATCCTGCTGCAGTGGGTGCCTCAGCCTGCCTGGGCTGGAGCTGTAGGAGGAAATGCACAGTGTCATCTCGGTCGGTGTAGATGGATTTTAGGCGGTGCCACCCGAGGCTGCCCTGCCGAGACAAATTCTGCTTCCAGAGGTGCAGGCTGAGCCTCAGGGGGTGTTGTATGGATGCACCTCCTGAAGTGGAGAGGTGTGCTGACAGCAAAGCAGGAGCATCCGGGTTTCCTCCAAGGGACTTGTGCCTTGCCAGCAGTGAGCGTGAGGCTTGAGGCTGGATGGAACAAACTTGCTGCCCCTCCTGCTCCTGCCGTCTCCAGGTGACTCCAGGGCACAGCTCTGGGTCACAGCATGCTCTTCATGCCACCTTCCTGGCCAGCTCCATCCTGAACTCTCCAGGGCTGTGCTCGTCTCCACCACAGGTTGCTTCTCTCAGCATTGGAGACATCTCTTGGTGGGAAGAGAGGAGGAAGAGCAACTCTTACAAGGAATCATGGATTTCTCCAGGATTCCATGCAGGATCACTGGGGACAGCCTCCCTAGCCCCTGTGTTTTCCACTGAGGGGAGTCTTGGCTTGTTTTTCTCCACTTTTCAACTACACGTCCACCTTGGTTTGCTCCGTGAAGCCTCCTTGGCCAAACAAATATCTTTATTAATACTTGTCAGCAAAAATATAAACAGATACTGAGTTACATCCACAGGCTGAGCTCTGATTATTTGATCTTTGGTTTCTATTGACAACAGCAAAGTAAACAATTTCTGTAGAGACTCAACCCTGATTTCAGCCAGAAATAAACAAGAACATGAGAAGAACACAGTGAGCTCTGAGTTGTTAAACCAGAGACCCAAAGCCATTGAAACTGGCAACTGCACTAAAAGTATTGATGCCAGTGGAGCAAGGATTCTCCCTTGAAAAACACTGCTCTTTCCTCCCCTTGCAGGCAGAGGTAGGTTGGATTAACATGGATCTGTCCAGTGGTGTAGATGGAGCCAAAGTGAGTTTGGGATGGGCTTCTTCCCTCCTGACTGGTGCCAGCGGCTCCCTTTAGAGCTTGGAATGGGCAGTGAAGTTTCTGTGCACAGTTCTGGTGCCCCCAGCACAGGAAGGACATGAAAGTGTTGGAGCAAGTCCAGAGGAGGCCACAGAGTTGCTGAGGGGACTGGAGCACCTCCCCTGTGGAGACAGGCTGGGAGAGCTGGGAACGTTCAGCCTGGAGAGGAGAAGGTTGTGTGGAGACCTCACAGAACCTTCCAGGGTCTGAAGGGGCTACAAGGAAGCTGGAGAGGGACTGTTCATTGGGAACTGGAGTGACAGGATACAGGGAATGGATTCCCACTGCCAGAGGGCAGGGGTAGATGGGATATTGGGAAAGAATTGTTCCCTGTGAGGATGGGGAGGCCCTGGCACAGGTTGCCCAGAGAAGCTGTGGCTGCCCCTGGATCCCTGGAAGTGTCCAAGGCCAGGTTGGACAGGGCTTGGAGCAACCTGGGCTAGTGGGAGGTGTCCCTGCCCATGGCAGGGGGTGGAATGAGATGATCTTTAAGGTCCTTTCCAACCCATACCAGTCTGTGATTCTATAATTTTATGATTCATGCAGAGCAGAGGAGTAAAACCCTGGATCCCACTCCTTTATAACCAGACAGGATAACGTTAATAACTCACAGTCTGAAGAAACCTCAAACACCGAAGAACCTGCAATGAAATAGAATGTCTTTGAAGGCTGTGCAAAAATCCCCACTTTTAGCATAATTACTGCTAAGAACCATGTGCAGGTCTCAGTTTAGTGTTCTTCAATCTGAGCTGGTCAAGCAGAGGCCTGATGTAGTCGGAGGGTTACGGTAGCCGCGTGTGCCACGCTGACCTTTCGGGAGCTGCGAACCGGCCAGCACTCCCATCCCTCCCCCACGGGCTGGGACGGCTGTAAACATCCCCATAATAAAGAGACAATTGTAATATCCTAGTTATTTCCCATTAAAAACCAGCCTGGCACAGGCTTAGGTTGCCCGAGGGGCTGGGCGAGCGAAGCCCATCCGTGTCCTCCTGCCCCAACCCGGGTGCTGGAGCCGCGGGAGCACCATGGGCCACCGCGGGCACAAGAACCCTCTGCTGCTCTCCCCGTGCCCCTGGAGCAGAGGCTGGCGCCGGCATCTCCAGGAGATGAAAACAACAGCCCCTCATCCCTCTCCTCCTCTCACCAGCTCTTCCCATCCCTGATTTTCCCCCGGGTGCAGGAGCCGAGGGTGGGGAGGAGGGCAGGAAGTCGCTGACACGTGTGGTTGGATTTTAGCTTGAACACCGTCCAGAAAGGAGCACCAAATATTAGTAAACAGATCAGGAAACATTTCCGTGTTTGGCAACAACTCCGCTTTTCCATGGCAGCAATCTCCAGTGGTTTTTCCACCGGAGAAAAAGGCCCCGCTCGGTTGATTTGCTTAAACTGCAGTAGCTCAGTTCCTGGGCCACCTTTAGATCCTGACCTTCAAACTCAGGTCTCTGGGTGCTGCAGCTCCTGGCTTTGTGCATGGAGTCGAGTCCTGCAGCTCTTGGACGTGCCCAGGGGATTTACAGGACTCTGGTGCCATGTCCAGCATCTCTGTCATGGTCCAGGCTGAAAAGGAAAGGATCAAGATGGTCGGCCTATTTTGCTTCTGAAAAGAAGATTATGAAGCTGTTTCCTTACTGGAATTATTCTGTCCCAATGGGTTCCTCAGGGCAATGGCTGAAGGCCTGTCAAGTCCTGGTGGTTCTGGTTGCAGTCAGTCACATCAGAAAGAGGACACAGGAGTGAATCAAGCACTGAAGCAGGTCACTGAATGAACTCTTAGTTTTACCATTTCTTGACATCCTCAGGTCAAGCCTGGGATGAACCCAGGCTGCTCATCCTGCAATATGTGGGGGGGAAATAATGAATGGCCCCTGATTTTGGACAAATGAACTGATGGTTCCCTCTGGCACCGTGTTGCAAACCCTGCTCTCTTCACTTCAACAAGCTCAAATGTAGATCCTTGGATAAGAAGCACATGGTCACAGACTGGTTTTGGAAAGAAGACCTCATTTTGTGCCCAGCACCTCCCACTGCAGGTGTTGATGGATTTTGATGCAGATGGAGGTGCCACCAGCATCAGGAAGAGCAATTGAGAGGACGAGGGTCAAAAATGAGCTTTGTGAGGGGAAGATGATTTCCCATTTCCAAGACAATCCTGGTTCACAGCCACCAGCAACGCTACAAGAAAACAAGGAGGAAAAAGAAGCAGAGCGTGTCTGGTTTCATGCTGAACTTCATGAGGTGGTGTGAGAGACCGTATGACACCTCACATGACCAAGTCATGGGACTGCATAAATCACCCCAAACAAACACATCTCCCTGCTGATGCTAAAGGTGACACTGTGACACCCAGAATATTCCACTCCTCGGGCCCTGCCACCCGTGGTTTTAAATGATGAAATCAATGCTGCCTGCAGTAATTAATAAGTGGCATGTCTATTTGGGCACTAGTGTCTCCAGTGAGATGCCACCACATCTTGCTCTTGCTGTTTCAGTCTCCTTCTCATACCTTTGCCCTACTTTTTCTGGTTTGCAAATATAAGGGGCCTTTTGCACAGAGAAACTGCTTGGAAATACAACTTTCTCGCAAAACCCACAACTCTCCTCCTGTCTCCTGCTTAGGAGACTGGCTCCCACCCTGTAGGGTGCCCTGAACATGGGACTGCCCCTGTGGCCATGCTGCCCACCTCATCCAGTGCCAGGTTGTGCCTTTCCCTGGTGTCTGTGTCTCTTCCTGTTTTGTTGTTTGTTTTTTTTTTGACCACCAATGAAGGGAAGAAATGCAGCCTCTGAAGTCTCAGCTGTGCCCAAAAGGTGACACTGCTCCCATGGTTTTATTCCAAAAGCCCACACAGCCATCTGTCCATGTGACTGCTACTGAGGAGGGGTTAGACCAAGTGCTATAATAAAAGAAATTAAAGGGGAAAGCCCCCTGTCCTCCATCAGCTCTGGGCTGCGATGCCATCCCATGTCTGGCTGTGGATTGTGTGATATTCCAGAGGCTCCAGTGCCCTCCCCACCAGCACCCAGAGGGGCAGGACCTCTGCAATAGTCGCATCCTTACAGGGAGAGTTGGGAAGGTTGTTTTCATTTGTGCTGCAAAAGGTTTCATCCTGTGTCCCTGGGTCTGAGGACAATTCCCATGCAGCAGGATTAGATCCCAAATTTCCCTTCTGTGGCTCTTTGCAACACGATGAAATGCCCACAGGATTTCCCAGCTCTTCTGTTGGTGTTTGCAGACATTATTGTAGGGAGGTGAAAACTGAACCACAGAATCACAGAATAGTTTGGGTTGGAAAGGATCTTAAAGCCTTGTGCAGCCTCCCAGCACAGCTGAGAAGTTAATGTCCAGATTTAAGGGGCTTTGCTGGTGATGGGCTGCAGATTAGTCGTGCACTCACCTTCTGCAGGGCTCAGCTGCAGCTCTCGCTCCCCAGTGAAAGCTCTGAGTGTGCCAGTGTGCTTCAACAAGGTTCCCAAACCATTTCTACCCTTCTCCTCTGCATATCAGGCTGACATGCAGTGAACAGAACTGTGCTGAGGAGCCTGAATCTGTTGCTTGCAATGGCCAAGTGGGAATAAGAGTTACTTCTTTATAGCAGATGTGTAGCTCAAAGTTCACCACAAGTGCACTCACATCGAGAGCACAGCGTGTATTGTTCTACAAGAAGGCGAAGCTCAGCCCTTCAAAAGACTCTGGAACAACTAATTTCATTATTCAAAGAATAAAGTGAGGGAGAGGGAGCCAAAATTAACCCTCTGGCTGCTCCCCGGGAGCAGGGATTTCTTTAGCACCCTCGAGTTCAGCGCCTGTGCTCACAGATGCAGGCAGAAAATCTGCCTTACAGTGCCCTGTCTCTGTTTTTCTCACTAGCTTAGGAGTTGAATATCTTATTGCTTTCAAAAATGACTGACTGGACAGAGGCCATGCTGAAAACCCCCACACGAAGTCCTCTGTGTGTACGTTGCCTCAGCGAATATGGCTCGGGAATTTCAGCTCCAGTTATGACCTCCAGGGAAAATCAAAAGCTACAAATCATGCATTTATTTTTTATTTTTTTTTTAATGATCCATATAGAAATAAATTTTTCTCTTAGTGACCAAATCAAAAAATAACACTTGCAGACAAGAACAAAAGAAGTCCCACAAGAAAACTTCACC